ATTTTTGGTTATTGTGAATGGTAAGAATCACTGTAGAGTTAGAGGAGTATCATGCTGATGTTTCATTTCATTCTTGGTCAAGTGTTGATGAAAGTTAAAATGCTTTTGTATTGCAGTTTATATGCATTTGTGATTTTTTTAAAAAAAATTATGTATGCTTGGAGATTTTCCTATAATAAACAGTAAGTAAGTAGTAGCTATTTTATAAATTCAGTTTCTACCCTATTCACCTACCAAAAAAGATGGCACTTAAGGTAGCTTGCAATCATACGAGTAACTTGATTCAAACAATAATAAAGCAAATGCATTAAAGCACAATTGAACACATGACAATAACAGAATAGAAACAACATCCAGTCTAACTTGCACAGCAAAAGCCTGCTTGAATGAAAAATCAGCTACCTGCCAGCAGAAAAGCAGCACAGAGAGAGTGAGCCTGGCCTGCACAGCAGGGAGCCCTGCACTCAGGGAGCAACCACTAAGAAGGCTCTTCGTAGCGTCACTTCCAAATGCTCCTCTGAAGGTGGCGGTTTTGGGGAAAGGGCCAATCCAGAGTATATTAAGAACTGGGGAGGCATGAATGGGAGCAGGCAGACTTTTATTCATTTGTTTTGCATCGGTACTGCCCAAAATACAGCATAGCTTGGTCCAAAGCCATACAGAGCTTTTTTGCTCATATCCCAGCCTTGTGGCAGAAACAGCTGCAAAGTTGTGTAACAAGGCAGTGACGTGTATTAAGAATTATGACTAGATTAATAGTAATAAGTTACTGTTGAGACTAAATCAATAGTGATAATTTACTATTATTACCAATGGACTTTGCACGGGGCTGTGAAAAGCATGGAGGTGGAAGCAAGAGTCACTGGCAATCGCTGCTTTCTCACCCTGTCCACTCTCTGCTCCCTGTGAGCTGGACTTCGTCCCTGAACCCTGAGTAAGCCACACAGGCAAGCAGAATCAGTCTGTCACGGCGTCTGTCCAGTGGTCTTGCCCACCCTGCTCAGGAGCAAACTGGGATGCCCCTCCAGAGTCCCCCAACCATTCCTCATGTTGGCCCCAGAGCTATACCACATCATTTCATGCTCCATTTTAGGGGCACTGCATTGTGCAAGTGAAAGATAAAAGTAGACATCTGGGGTTGGAAGGCACAGAGTCGATTAGCTTACCTTATCTTAGGTAACTAGGTGCTTAGGCACTTGCTTAGCCTGTATCAGTTTCTGCTGACAAAAGTCCCAAGCCATTCCAGCCTATCAGTTTGGCCTGTGTTTGAAACTCTTTAAAAAGCCACGGTCTCCCCATTGGACCATAAAATGTGCACTTGCTGCTGTTTAGGCAGCAGACCATCCAATTGCCCTTTGACATCACTGAGGAAGCCTGCAGAGTTCTAGGCACAATATATAGAATGTGTGCAGTTTGGTATATAGAAATGTGTGTGTGGCAAGGCTCTTTTTGTGTCATGAGCGCTTGCTAGCTTACTGTTTGGATTTGATTTCACTTTGGTAATCTTCATTTTGTTTGCAAGAAACGCTTGCTTGACATTTTGCCCATACATGAACTGAAAACACCTGAACAAAACAAGCAGTGGTTTGTTTAATGAGTAAAATTAAGTTTTACAACCAATATGCATGTGAAAGTCAACAACGTGTCTGTTTGGCCTCTGGAGAAATGCTGACCTTATTTTAAGCATTAAACTAACTTGATCTGGCGAGAACATAATAGTATCAAGCCATCCTTTCATCATCTTTCAGCAGTGGCTTTTGGCAGATAAAATATTATTTTTAAGTTGTTTTGGTAGAAAGTATTAAAACATACACAGCAAAACATTCTGTTTTCCACCTCAGTGCCTGCATTGTAAAGCATTTATTTACTTCATAATAGTTGCAGACCTGCATATTGTCAAACCTTTTCTTCTAGCCAATAGGTAAAGATAAGTGGTGTTGTTTCTTGGATAAATGAATCTTAGCTTTGTTCAGATCTATGGGGCTGGTCATGAAGTGGCTAGTAAATGTTACCACACCATGTTTTCAGCAGAATAGTTGATGCTTTATTGTGTTGAAATAAGCTACCCTTACTGAAAGTTGAGATAGGTCCATAACAACTGCAAATCTACAAGCATAAAGAAATCAGTGTAATAATCTACTTGTATCATGGAAAGGACATTTACGGTGCAATCCAATGCATGTTTATACAGGAAAAAGGCCTACACCTTAGCTGCATAGGACATGCTGGAAACCACTGTAGCCCTTTTCCCTGTCCAAGCCTGCTTCAGAGTGTGATTTCAAGTACAGAATCAGGGGGTTGGAAGGCACTTGGAAGGCTGTCTAATCCTCCAGTCCATCAGTTTTGGTTTCTCACTCATTTTTCTTTCTTGCTTTTAATCTCCTGTTCTTTTTTGTTCTGAATATGGGAACTTGCAAATTTTGGTAAATTCTTCAAGTTCACATTCTTTTTCCAGGCACCATAAGGCTCCTTTCCTCATATGCTGGCTTGCAGTAAGTCCTTCCTGGCTTCTTAATGGAACTCCCGCCCCACTTCTTATCCTGGATTGTTAACTGACTTAATGGGAAACTCTGGCTGCACACAAGCTAGGAATGAAGTACCAAACCCAACACCTCAGAGAAAGACAGGAGGGGAGACTGAAGGAGGAGGTCTCCAGTCCAAACCTCACTTCTGGCTTGATAAACCATGACATCAGAGAGTTAATCCAAACTGGGTTGTTACCTATGCCTGCATGTTCATGCCTGTATCAGAGAGAAAGGGCCTATGTGACAGAGGGCACTCTGTGTTTTTTGGATGAGTTTAAATCAGGCACAATGCTCTGGCAGAAAAGGTTTTTTGTGGCTGACAAACATCATAGTTACTGCTGTTGGCCTAGACTTTTCCCCAGCAGTTCCTTGACAAACATGCAAATCATTTGTGTGATGAAAGTTATTGGAAATTGCATGTGAGGCCTGACTCATTCTAGTAAATTGTGTTCTTTTCTCTCTTTTTTCCAAAGAGGAGTGTTCATGCTACCAACTGTATCATTGACTACCTTGGCCAGGCCTTTTGACTCATCAGGCCTGTTTGCAAACATGTGTAATTACAGTATGAATAGAATTTCCCTTTGCTCATTTTGGGCTGACCTCTTTTTTGACCCCCAGGCTAAGAGTATGAAAGGGGAAAGAGAGCAGCTTAATGCATTGCTGTCCCCTAAGTTGCACAACATTCTGTCTTTGGGTGGACTGATGTAAGGACAAATAATTGGCATCAGTACATCAAAGCAAAAGGGAAGATGGATGGTTCAGTAGACAGTTGTGTTGCATTCCAGAAGCTGACAGTTACAGTCACTCCCCGAGTTAACAAAGTGTCGGGCTTCTGCTTTGAGCAGGTTCCAGGAATCTTTGTTACCCCCCCATGCCTCATAAAATGCTAATCCTGCAGGGTGAGCACAGATACTTCCTTTCCCCCCAAACCATCAGGAAGGGGTGTGGGGTTCCAGCCACAATAAGAAGCTTCCCTAGGGTTTGTTTTCAAGGCCAGTGCCATTACTGGAGTCCAGCTGGGCTGTTCATGGGATGCTGACCTGTCCACTTGGGAAAGAACACTCATTTAAGAGCCATCAGTTTTATTTTTTGCAGCCCAGAAGCATGGGCTGGGGGCTGCTGAGGTCTCAGCTCTGCTTCTTCACTGTTCCCGATCCTCTCCCTGCGCAAAGTCAGTGCTGCTCGGCTTCTTTGGTTGGCAGCCCCCCCCCCCCCCCCTGCCTTCATGGAGGCCCGATGCATCTGCTTCATAAGATGGTGGGAAGTAGGGAGAGGAACAAGAAGGTGGGGTTGCCCACTGCAGTGGGGAGGGCCATGGACCTTGGGTTCCTCCCACAGCATAGGGAACCATGTCTGAGGCCCCATACAACCCCAATGCTTCCTTCATCTCAGCTGTCCATCAGGGAACTCCTTTTATAGATATGCCAACACACATCATGGATCAGGTTGTAGATTTATGGATCGGTTTTGAGAGTGTCCAGACCTCCTTGGTCAGAATCCCATGTCACCACCCTGACATTATGAAGTCAACTTCTTTTTATACAGTAACAAGGAGAATCAACACCATATCTGGCTTATTTCAAAAACAGTTTCTTTCTTTTTAATGGTGTGTTTTGATAAGTCTTTAACTGATGTATTTTAATGAAATGTTTATGTTTAATTACATTTGAGCTGTATTTTATTATTACTAGCTGCATGAGGGAAGCAGGAATGTAAACACAACAAATAAAGCCCAATAAATCACTATTTTTAAAAATCTGCAAGAAATAAGTAGGTTTTTCACATGGGCCTTGTGCAATGGAGTTTTGATAGTGCAAGGAAAAATACAGTTCATCGTCATGAAACAACAAATGATAGTAAAATAAATGTTTCAGGAAATGTCAAAATCAGTTCATCCACATACCCTACAGAACATATAAAGTACATACATTATTGTTGTTATTCCATGCTATCAGCTTAGGATAACCCTATGTATGAAAGCCCTCCAAAATGCCCTGTCCTTGACAACCCCACTCAGCTCTTGTAAACTCAAGACTGTGACTTGCAGCCAGTTCATCTCATAGCTGGTCTTTCCCTTCTTCTTTCACCCTTTCCTTTCCCTAGCATGATTGTCTTCTCCAGCGAGTCTTGCCTTCTCATGATGTGCCTGAAGCATGACAGCCTTAGTTTTGTCAGTTTTGTTTCCAGGGCAAGTTCTGTTTTGATTTAATGTTGGACCCTCTTGTTCCACTTTCTGTCAGTTCAGGGAATTTGCAAAGCTCCCTTGCAACACCAGAATTTGGTACCTTCAAGTTTTTTTTCCTTTCACCTTTCTTCACTGTCCAGCTTTCACACCATGGCTCTTTCCTTGCATTACATGTTTCCGCTAACTAACTAAACAAATAAACAAACAAACAATACTTGGTGTTCCGAAGAATAGAAGATATTTGGGTTTTGCTAATGTAAGATGTCTTTCCCATTTCTTTATTATTCAAGGGACCTGAAACTGGACAACATTCTTCTGGATGCAGAAGGTCACTGCAAACTGGCTGACTTTGGGATGTGTAAGGAAGGGATCTTGAATGGAGTAACAACTACTACCTTTTGTGGAACGCCAGACTACATAGCTCCAGAGGTACGAAAGGTGGTCTGTGACAAAAGAGTTTCTGTCTTGCTGGTTCATGCAAAGGATCAGTTCATACACATGGCACTGCCACCTGATTACTTGCACACCATCATATTCATCATATGTTGGTGACTGTGATGTGGCATTCCTCCAATAAGTTGGTGGCACGGCCTTGCAGCCATTTCCATGCACCTCGTTGGGGTATGGTAGTGCTTCTAAGACGAAAGAGACCAGTTCATGATTCCTTCTAGCTGATCCAGGAATATCTACAGAACCATGGGCCTGTGTGGCATGTGAAGGAAACCCATCAGGAACACTGCAGGGGTAAACAAGCCCACAGTATATAATGCGCTGAGCAGAGTGGCCTTGTGGCTCCCAAGCCAGCTTCTAGGAGATCGTAGTGTTATTGAGATTCCCAGTTCCAGGGCTGAAAAAGAGTTCTGATGTCATAGCTGGGTGTCTGTGCTCCAGTTGTCCACTGTAAGAGCTGCTCCTGTGAGGTCATAAAGCATCCTTGGAGAAAAGGGTGAAAGGATGCTGACAGCAATCCAGTCTTCTTCGCTCCCCATCCAAAGTGCCACAGCCAGACAAAATTGCCAGCCTGGCTGACATGCAGGGTGGGAGGAGCACAGAGGCAAAGAGCAGCTCCGTGCTCCTCCTACCTTGCACTGAAGACATGCAGTAACTGAGTTCAGAGGCTTGGAGGCATCCCCAAGGGCTTGGACTGTGCCCTTAAAGACTTTTTAAAAGAAATGGTGCATCCTTACAGCACTGTCCTAGAGGAGCACAGTACTTTTAAGTTGCGGTTCTAGCTGTCCGCTTGTGTTCTTCCCCATGGAATATGATTTCATCTGCTGCTTCTTGTAATGTGGAAGAAGTACATATGGTGGGGATAATGTGCAAGAAAAGATAATATGTGCAGGACACGTCCCTCTTTTTCTTCTTTCACTCAAGACCAGACTCCATCTTGTTCCACAAATGGTAAGAACAGAGAAGGAACCCCACCTATCTAGTCTATCAACTTGCGAGAAGCTGGCAAGCAGGGCTGGAGTGCCACACTCCTTTCCTCCCCTTGCTCCACAGCAACTGACATTTAAAATCATAGTGCCTCTGAGCTGAAAGGTGCTATATAGCCATCTTGTCTGAATGGGATGGTGTAACTCAGTGGCCTGCACTAGCAGAGGGTTGAACCAGATGGCGTTCTGGCCCCTTCCAACTCTACTCTTCTAGATTCTATGAACATAACTACAACTCCGGCCAATTAGTGTCATTGACTGACCTTAGGTCCTAGTATTATGAATGAAATATTGGAGAAGTTGATTTTCATAGGCCTAGGATACCATGTACAAAAATGTTCAATTGCCAGTGTGTCTTTGAGAAATTTACCTGGGGGCACATGCAGTGGTGTTTCTTTCAGCCCTTAATTCACTTTTTAAGACAGCATGAAGTGTGAGCCTGCTCATTTTTGTAAACCTCACATCCCTCTCTTTCTCTTGGCTTCTCTAACAGATCCTCCAGGAATTAGAGTATGGTCCCTCTGTAGACTGGTGGGCACTAGGTGTTCTCATGTATGAAATGATGGCTGGGCAGCCCCCCTTTGAAGCTGACAACGAAGATGACCTCTTTGAGTCCATTCTCCATGACGATGTGCTGTATCCAGTGTGGCTTAGCAAAGAAGCCGTCAGCATTCTGAAAGCGGTAAGGCTCACCCTCTTTTCCTCCCTTCTGAAATCTGAATTTTCCTATAACAGCTCAAGAAGAACCACCACTGGGAGTTCAGCCACAGTTCAGAGTGCTACTGTCAGTCTAAAGTGGTCTGGGATGAATTACACTTCTTGTGGGAAAGGGACAAAATGTTTGTGTTCTTTGTGGCCACATTACTGTACAAATGTATGCACTGGAGAATCATGTTTCAGGAAAAAGAAAAAACGTAAGCAAACTGAAGTGCCTTATCAAACTGACACGACACATGGTGTTGCTGCTATAGTGGGGGGGAAATTATGTAATTAAGGAAAAACAGCCTATGCATTTATGTTGGGCCCCTATCCAAAACATACTTTATGTAGTGAAGCCTGATCCTTAACTGCGCTGACTTAGAAGTACATCCACTGATTTCCCAAGTAAATCTTCATAGCAGTACAGCCTCATAAGCTGACATGTGTCCTAGTAGCATTTTTAGCATTTTTAAACATTTTTTTAAAAGTGACTGGGTTCCTGGAAGAGAAAAGGCTCTGTGATCAAGGCAGAAAATCAGCCATTATGTTCATTTCTATTCTGGAAAGGAAGCGGAGTGCTGTTTCCCCCACCAAGCTGAATGGTGTGATTACAAGTTTCTTACAGCACCAAGAGCTGGCTCCTGCCCATGCCGCTGGTTCGAGGCCATCCTGTCAACTTTCTCTGTGAACCCTGAGGTCTAGGAACACGGCTTGTAGCAGGAGCTCTGCAAGGGGACACCCATTCTATGCTCCCTGTATCACTGGAATGCTCCTCAAAGAATTACAGGCAACTTGAGACAGGCAGCATCAGGAGAGCAGTAGGTCCGTAGCATCCTAGGGTTGGATGCCCAGATCCTGCATCCTCTCCTTTAGCCTCAAAGTGGCCTTAAAAAAAAAAAAAAAAAAAACTTGTAGAAAGTCATACACTGCTTCCTGCAAAATCTGACAAGTTGTTTTCTCCTGCCATTAATTGATCTCTTATGTTTATACTTTTCCTTTCCTCCAAGGAGGCCAAATTGATGCATGTGGTCCTGTTCCTCCCTGTTAGGTATTTTATCATTGCAACCTGGCAAGGTTAGTCTGAGAGTCAGTGACTGGCTCAAAGCCACCCAGTGGCAGAAATCTTAGTCCAGATGCCTTAACCACATGGCACACTTCCACCTGGAACCTCAACCCAGTTTCTTCAAAGGAAAGGCCAAAGAAATGTCCCAGACACTATGCGGAACTTGTGCTGTATAAGCCCTGGCATGGAAATGTCCCGTCCAGTAGGACCAGATTCCATGGCAAATGGCTGCCAAACACTGTGTTTGTTGCATGGCGGAACCTTGGTGGCCTCAACATGGGGGCTGTAGCAAAATCCCACTGATTTCATGTGGGTGGGAGCAGCGGTATTCCCAGCTTCTTTCAGGTGGTAAGGCTGAATTAGTGGCGTTAACAGACCTGCATCATTGAAAGGATCCTGCCTTGTTGAAAGGATGCATGTAAAGGATCCTGTCTTGCAGCAGCTTCTCTTGGATGCATTTTGGGCTGAGCCTGGTGCTTAAAATTTGTATTCTTCATCTTGTACTTCAGCAGTAAGCAGTTAACAGAAGAGCAGGAAAAGCAGCGGAAATGGAGGGGCGTCTATGAATTTGACTGCCAAATATTAACAAGGGATTAGCTTTGGAACACTTTGTTTCCTCACATTGTACTGTGAAACATTGGTTTTGTTCATCAGACACTGTAAATCAGAGTGCTGTTAAGACTTTTTAAAGCATTTTTGAGTAGCTTTTGCAGAATGGCCTTTGCTTTCTATTCAGTATTATTTTCTTTGCACCATTACTCTGTGATTGATTTATATTTCCCAGAAATGCTTTACAATATCAGCAGCCCTGAATGTTTGGTACCTAAAAAGGATGAGAATCTGGGATTGAATTTCTCTAAACTGAATTCTTTACTGGGCTCGCTTAGCAGCACTTAGCTCCATTTCTTGACAGTACTGAGCCCTGCAATTATTAAAACGTTAAGACATCTTGTGACATCTGGAAATTCTATATCTTTATTTCAGGATTAATTAGGCCCTAAAGAGCTAGAGTAATATGAAATGGAGGAGTCTGGGGGTAGTGTTTATGCTTTGCATATGGAGGAACTCAGATTTGGCTCCTGGCACTGTAGGTTAATGGATCCCATATAAGAAAGCTAGGAAGAATTTTCACCCAAGACCCAGGAAAGCTGTTGCTAATCAGAGCAGACAGGACTAACCAAAATGGTCAGGCAGCCTCATATACTTATGTACTAATAGGCCACTGCATATGTTTATCATCATCATCAAAAGTGTTTCTGAGTATCTTGCTCTAAACACTCTGATTAAGGAGTTGAGTCTCCCAGGTAGATGGTAGGGGCCTCAGAGCAGCACCTTGAGCATCACCTCATGCGTGTGGACAGTGGTCTTACTTAGACCAGGCGAGACCATTAGCCCATCTAACAAGTATGGTCTGTTCCAGGGCTGGGCAGAAGCTGTCTCTCCAGAATGTATGGAGTGCAAATCCCACAAGCCTCTGCCAGCATGACCAATAGTCAGTAATGCTGAGGGTCGACATCTAAAACACCTGGAAATCTTTCTTCCCTCTCCCTGGTCTGCATGATGGACAGCAGCTCTCTAGAGCTTCAGGCAAGACTTGTTCTCAGCCCAATCTGGAGAAGCTGGGAATTGAACCTGGAATCTCCTGCGTGCAAAGCAGGTGCCCTGCCACCAAGCTATGACCACATCTTCTCTCAAGGAGAGGGGCACAGAAGACTGCTGAACAGAAAAGAAAGATGGCTTCTTTCCATTATAAACAAACAAATCAATCAATCAATTGATCATTGCTCATTATAGGTTATTCTAAGCAAATGTATTTGTTTCTTGATTGCTTCATGCATTAAGTTTTTATGCATTAAGTAGTGCTTTGATCAACACAGTTACGATAATCAGTTGGTGAGAGTGGCTGCAGTTTATTCCCATAGTATGTCTGAAATGGTCTAGTTCTGTCCTGATAAAGGTCTCTGTGAAAAAGACCTCTAGCTGGCTGGAATGTGTACTCATAGTTGGTTGCTAGATGGCAACAGGAATGAGAAAGATTTCTTCACTTGCAAATTGTGTTGAACTGGGAAGAGTACCAGGAAAACCAGTTCAAACTCAGTGCTTTATATGAACTTCTCTGCTCCTGCAGAGCCTTCACTTATGCTCCTCTGCACTTTGATTGTATAATTTTCCACCATATAATTAATGCTTTGTGCACTTTGTTTTTCCTCCAGTTTATGACAAAAAATCCAAATAAGCGGCTCGGCTGTGTGGCAGCTCAGAATGGCGAAGATGCTATTAAGCAGCACCCATTCTTCAAGGAAATCGACTGGGTTCTTCTAGAACAAAGGAAAATCAAGCCACCCTTCAAACCTCGGATTGTAAGTAGTGCTATGAATTTGTGCAAGAGAGCTTGGTTGAAAATATGTAAAAGTTTTTGTTTTCATTTATAAAAAAAAGTTGATTCTTATAAATTGCTCTGAGAGTCTTGACTGATGAACAGAATAGCAATGCTTTGAATCAATCAATCAATTGATCAATACATCAATATTATAATACTGCAGTAAAACTAAAAGGCCAAAATAGCCCAATATGTGCCACGCCAAGAGAATCAGACAGTTGGTGTCTTCAAAGGTAAGTGTCATATTAACAAATGTTACACTGTGAGATGACCTGTTTGTATCTATTACAAATGCCAAGATCCACGGAGTCCTATTTCTTGAAGTAAGTCCACAGGTTACATAACTGTTATCACCTGATGTGTGTCCCACTGCCACTTAGGTCATTACTGCGATTGCCACCAAGGTAGCCATGTATGGCCCATCAGCCATCAGGCAGCAATATGAGCCTGTAGATTTATCCTCCAAATCTAAGCACATTTCTTGCTGAAAAGTATTCAAACTGGAATATGCATTTCTTCCAAATCTATAATGCAATAGCCTCTTTACCGGGGAATCTTCAGACAGTGAATGCTGGAATCATGTCTTCTCAATAGAATAAGATGAATTAGAAATCTACAAGATGTCAATTGAGGGGGCAGGCAGATGGAATTTTCACTGCAGGAATGTTTGGATATTCCTTCCAGCAGCTATAGCTAAGCAAATCCCCGTCCCGTCCCTTCCCTTCCCCGGGTTTTTATAGCTCAGCAGAGGCCCATGTTTTTAGGCTTGACATCCCAGTATTCCATGGGGGATCCCTGGCCAAAGAACCGCCACTGGGCCTGTGGTTCATTCATTTTAAAGTCTGCCTTGGAAAACTTCAAGCATGACTCAGCTCTGTTTCTTCTCTGTTGCATCTTCAGTTTTTGTCTAGATCAAGGATAGGTGGCAGCATAGGGAAACCCCCCCCACCCCAAAAATTGATGGATTTAGCTCTATCAAGTGTGAAATGGATCAAATTTACCTGGCTTACAAACTTTCTTTTACCCCTTTAACATTAGGGATTGCTGCAGAGTGAGTTGTTCCTGAGTTTCAGGGCCAAACTGCTGATTTTTTAAAAAATATGTATTTAGAGTGTAACCCTCAAAGAACCACCATAACCTCTCACACTTGTATATTCCTTGCCTAGTTGGTTGATTAGTGTTGTAACACTTAAAAAACACTAAAAATATTAAAAAGCAGAACTCTGAAGGATTCGCATTGTCACCTGTAGTTTGGTCATGCATCAGTTGGAAGCTTGGTAGATTCTGCAGCTGGGTCAAGTCTTCTGTTTCTCTTGATGCTAAGAGCTTTCATATATTTTGGTGACTTTGTATTCCTGTCAGGTTTTTTTCAAAATAATACATTTCTGTTCTGAGAATTTTCCCTTGATCATTTCTTAATGATTTCCATGATTCCTGGTTTTTAACTGATTCATGCTTGATCATCCCCTGTTGACTGTAGCCTAAACAATCCAGATGAATCACAGCACACACATACGCACCCACACACACGCACATGGTGTCCATTCACACCCTATTGAAGCAACCGCAGACAAGAGCCATAGTGTCCGAATGATGAGAGCGGAGTTTGTGCCCACATGTGGAACCCGACTTCCCCTGGAAGTTACCCGCAGCCAGTGCCACGTCCAGGTTTTTGAGGACCCTTCCCAAGGCACCCCCAAGGGCTGCCTCCCCTGGTGAGTCCCCTTCTCACCACCTTGGTCACCAGCTGCTCATGCTTGCCACTGCTGCCACTCGTTTCATGGGCGGCAGGAGTGGCATTCCTTGCGCCAGTGGGTTTCAGTGAGGAACTGGTGAACAACCAGCTTTCCGTGAAGAGGAGGGGCAGCTCCAGGGGCTCGTGCGAGTGTCCTCCTGGTGGATGCGGGCCCTGGGCAGGCGCCCAAGTGTGCCTGCCCCGGACATTCGCCCTGTCCTTGGTCATCACTGTCCATCTGTTTTTTAAAACAAATTTGTACCAACTTCTGGATCTTAACTGACATTCATTCTGTATTAGATTCTGCGCTTTTTATCTCTCTCCCGTCCCCAGTTTTCTCAAAAATGATTTAGTGCAAGAGCAACACAAGCTGTATGCAGGGTCCCAAGGGACCTCCCTTGTAATCTTATCCATGCTTCCATGAAAGATAATGATTAGCCACATCGTTTGCTGACTCTCCTCCATGCATTTTCATTTCTTCTCTCACATGATTTCTCATTTGTTTTCATATGAATAATTACGCTTAGTCATAAATAGCACTGAAGACAGCCCTGGCAGGAGAAAAGTGTTGTACTAACTTGGATATTCTGAGCAAAACTTCACTGCTTCTCCAGCAAGTAGCTGGACTACACGGCATACTGCAAGGGCTGTTGGTAGTGCTGATCAAAGGAACTTCACTCTTCGTTTAGATTTATCCAAGTAAGTTGGTTTAATCTGCATGCTCCCCAGCCATTGCTGGAGAAAGAGTTGAAACCGTCGGGTGCCATAAGTCATCCACAGTAGAGAAACGATCCACTTGAGAGAAGTGTCTGTCTCCACTGGGCTTGAACCCTCAGTATGACACCAAGGCCTCCATGCCTCTGACTGGAACATCCACTGAGCATCCTACAGATTAACCTACAGATAATGCAATTGTCCAGGGCCGGAACCTTGTGATGCCAAAGGCAGTGTGAAGTGCATGTCTGGTGAAATACATGTGTGGATGGGCAAAGTGGCTAACTCTGGAGTTCCCAGTAAGTTGCCCGTGAGTGCCGTGGTGTCCCTGGCCACCTCTAGTAGCATCCACAAGAGATTCCCACATGGTGCTTGTAGGGGGATGGGGGGAAGTCCAGGCTTTTAAAAATATGCATACATGAATTTGCATGAAATGCATACAGATTTCTAGCAATTGGCTCTGACAAAGTATTGTCTTTATGCTGCCCATTCATATATCCACAGCAATGTAAGGTCCTCAATCCATTGTGTTATAGGAAGTGAGTGTTTATTTTTCTGCTGTTGAAGTATCAGTCTTCGACCAGTCAAAAGGGTGCAGAGAATTCATTTCCCTACCCATTTGTTAATGTCCATGAAGCAGGTAAATGATTTTAAAGAGTGTGTATATCAGTGAATATTAAAGACTGTTCAGCTACAACTTTTATCTGTATAATAGCCTCCTTCCAAGAAGAATCAACTATTGGACACTGTTGCAGTATATATTTCAAAGAAGCATGAGATTTGTTGTACCACCAACAATTTGCCAAATCAGACAATCTTTTATTAAAGAGACACTGCAGTGTCCAACAGACATGAACCAAGAGTTTACACTGAATAAGATGCGACTTAAGATCCATAGATAAGATAGGTAGATGCCAAAGCAGCAATCTTCCAATTAAACATTTTGTGATGTTGCCTGTAGTAGTTTCTCAAATTCTCAAATCTGTCCACAGAAACACTGGGGGCCTCTAGGTTAGTTCACAGCCTGAGTAATGTGACTTGCTATTAAAGTCAAGATAAAGGCAGCTGTCGGAGGGGAACCATGACTCAGAGCCAAAGGACCAACCAGGAGCCATTGCTGAGGAGTCCACAGAGCCAGGAACTTCTTGTTGCTCAGTTAAGGTCCCAGCCCAAACAGGAAGCCTTTTGTAGCCCTTCCTGTCTAGATTAACAAGAGACTCTCCAGAGGCTTTAAATACTTCGCTGCCAGGACGATTTTCTAAGCCACTTTTCTGATAGCTCACCCCATGGGACAGCTTCACACAGAGCCAGAGTTTCCCTCCTTACCTCTTCACTCAAATTCCCACAAGTAACCTACCGTGTGTCTCACCTATTGTTGACTTCAAAGGCAGTCTGACCTACTGTCACAAGTGGAAAGCAAGTGATGCTGTGCATGAACCAGCACTGAAACAATGCCATTACTTCTCGCTAAGCAGAGGGGAAAGGAAACACAGTGCTTTGCTGCCCATTTTCAGCACTGCAGTTTGTTGTCAATTTTTGGTGTCAAATTGCCACCTTCCCTCTTTGCCTAGTAAGCAGCAATGGCGTCATGTTAGTGTTTGTCTATGCTAGTACAGCATCATCAGCACTAACACTGTGATAGTAGAAGTGGCTCATTGGCTTTATTTGAAGAATATTGTTCCTGTGGCAATGCCAGAAGGGGTGCCTGCTACACAATGACCTGGAATGCAACAAAGGATTGGCTTCTATGCATAATTAAAGGTTTGTACTGGTCCATAATACTCATCCACAGAAGAGTCTGTGCATAGTATTTCTGCTTGACCTGCTGCTCGATCCTTCTTCCACCTAGCCAGTGCCAGTGCGTAATGGTAGTTCTCTGGGTCTCATAATATCCAGTCCCTGTGGACACACAGCCACAGAAGAATCTCTTGTAGGGTGCAGTCCCATTGCTGTTTAGACTGAGACATGGCCTACTCCCAGAATTATGTAATCCAAGTGCCCGGGAAGTGGGAAGCAAGTCAGTTTGCCTTAAAATGTGGTACAAACCTAAGCGTGTAGGATAAACAAATCCCTCCAGCATCCTGACGATCTTTGCTTTGACATGCTATAGAAATAAGCTGTGGGATGTGCACTGTGAGTGCACCGGCAAAGCTATCATCATTTTGGATAATGCCACTCTAGTCTGACCAAGCAAAGAACCTGCAGTAGAGTCAGTGTAGAATCACACTCAGTTTTCAGTGGCTGTCACTCCGTACTTTGGGGAAGAATAAGGTAAACACAGCTGACAAGGCAGTTGGGGAGGGGGAAATTAAGTTTGATTGTTTGTTTGTTTGTTTGTTGGATTTCTAATCCTCCCCATTAGCCACTCAGCTTCCTGGACAAGTAACAACAATAACTGGAGAATAACAGAACTTTGATCGGGGTGTTGGGATCCTATCCTGGTGGACATTGTTCCTGAGTGAACTTTTGTTATTTCTCCCATCCTGGGAATAAATGTCATTCACTCCAGAAGTAAAAAAGCTAAATACTGC